AAGTTTTTATTTATTTATCTCCTTACTTTTGTTACATGGATTCGTGACACACAACTGAACAATGAAAAATTATAGGACCGGTATTGATTTTAAAATATAAAGAAAGAATGTGAGGCACAAACACTATGAATCAATTTAATCAAAATGGGGAGGGAAAGAGTATAAAAGCTCAAACAACATAAAACCAACATAATATGCAAACTGTTTCAATTAATATGCAAGCAGTGCATGTTGTTTCAATGTTTTCTTCTCTGCTTAGAAAAGGTTTAGCACAACAGTAATATGCAAAATGTTTTAATGATAGTCGGTACACTAAAATTCGATCTGGCCCGTACTTTGATCAGGTCAAAACACAGTGCTCATTTGTGTTGCCCATTTACGACCTGTGCATTTTATTTTCAAGCAATGTTATTGAACCCAGATCGGACCGGCTGGTCAAACCGGTCGGACTGCGAACTGGTGACAACTCCGGTCCGGGTTAACAAGAAACCCAGTTTCCCAAAAACCTGTATTCTAACGTAACGATATACTCCGTATTCTAACACAAACAATGCCCACCAAGAAAGACTCAAGTTACATTCATATGACGACTAAGAAAATAATCAATATCAAGGACCAATGAATTTTACAAAGAACAACGTATTAACGACTGTCCGAAAGAAATGACAAAGAAGGACTTGAGTAACTTGAAAGGTACAACAACCTATAAATAGGCAAACACTAAATGGAATACACCACCAAACAAAGCATATTTTATTTGTCAACCAAAGATGACATGACAACCATTCAATAACCTTAATGGGAAGCACCCCACAATCAATTGCTTGCCTCCTGCAAAGATAAAAGATTGAACACTTTTAGATGTAGAGGAGAAAAAAATGAATCCTCATTTTGATGTTTTCGAAAGGTCAACACCAAAATAAATATCCTTGTATCTTTTAAAAGTCAAAACCGGAAAGGGTATCATCCTCATTTAGATGTAATTGTGTCAACAAAGTAAATTCACCAATTAGGTTGGAGCATGCCATTATTCACCATGTATGGACTTTCTAGTAGTTCCTACTCGCCTCCATGATCTATCACACTTGTGCAACTCTCTTCCGGCCAATACTAAATTTAATCACTTCAAAAGGGATACTACTGAACCGCTATGGCTCTCAACAACCAACCTCAGCATT